CCAGAAGTGGCCTACCACAGGGTTTAGTTCTTATATAATTCCCAATGCGAACGTTCTCGTCAGTTTTGTTCTCATTTTGGTTTTGGTTTTGACGCGTTCTTGGGAACAAAACTACGACAATGGCATTTAGTTTCGATCATACATTTCGTTCTCAGTCCCTGTTTTAAAATATTAATATTTAATATTCTTTAAAATATACATACATACATACATATGTACACATGCATGTATGTATATGCATTTACAAAAATTAGAAGTTTGAATTTAAGTACAGAAACTAATGTTTTAATTTACTTTTCTTGCCTCCGTCTACTCAGGCAAGCGGTTAGGTGTACATAGTCGCGTACACTCTAGACATAAAAAAATAATTATAAAAAAAAATTTTCTCACTGAAAAAATATTTATCCTCACCAAAAAGATTATACAAGAAGCTTTATGTCGCATTACCCGGGTGTTTTTCGTTTAACCGGCACCAAAATATGTATATTACCCGGGTACCCGGGCAAATCGGGTAATACCCGACTACCCGGGTAATACCCGGGTAATCGGGTACCCGGGTACCCGGGTATCATCAGCCCTACTATAGGTTATAGCGTTAACATTTCTTTTGTGATTATTATTCGATTGTTTCTAAGGTAGTTCGTTTTCTCCGACATGTATTTTCAGTGTTTGAAGCCCATTATGCCGCCGATCGGTAGATGAAACATTGTCTCCCGAAGTCGCGATGCACAAAGCTTGGCAATTAACCGGGCGACTATTACCTAATTTTTTTTTTTTAGGTGGGACGATGTTCGCCTTGTTTTGTTATATTATTATTTATTACATGTGGCCTGTACGTAAAGCGGATACTCTTACTTAATGGTAAGTAAAGTATGATACATATATTTTGGATTCTAAACGCTGCAGGCTCCTCGAAAAAAATTATTTCGATCGTTATATAATTTTAAATTGAACTTTTGACAAAGAAAGTTAAACAGTGGCAAAGACTCATCCAACGCGAAGTTAACGTAGAAGTCACCACCGAGAATTTGTGATATTTTATTATCATCCTTGCTAAGCGCAGCACTACCTTCATGACACATAACTAGGGAACGTTGTATATAATATAAGTTGCCTCTAGTTCATTGCCCTAACAAACAAACTTTGCAATTTATTTTGGCTAAGTTTAAATAAAGCTAGCATTAAATGAAATAAGAGTATCACAGAGATGAAAGCTTGTGAACTCCCTTAATATCGTACCTTACGGTCCACATTTTTTTTTATAAAATTGAAAATAAACAATTTTCTGGTCATATGCATAAAGATATCTCTACTTTAGTGTATATATACAGAAGTCTCTTTATACGTCAGTGCGTATGAGTAACGCGGTACGTGTATTGGAAAGCAATATCGGTTCACTAGGCGTATGAGTAACATGTGCAGTTGTGTGTGTTATTACTAAATCATAGGTAAAATTTACCCAAGCACTTGTAAAAGTGTAAAATGATGAAATATTTATACGTATTTAGATATTATTTTATTTTTAAAACTGTACCTTTTAAAACCATTTAAAATTACTAAAAAGCAAACAAAAAAACAAACAACAAAACAGAAATAAAACCGTATAAAAATCATGACAAAACAGAAAAATCCAGCAGCCATCTAAATATCTTTCTTTAGCATTGCTAGAGCGGCAAACTTTCAACTAATGTTCTCTACATTTTGTCATGGCACATTTGACACAATATGTGGTGGTTTTTAGTCCTTTGTTTCCTTGCCTTTTACTAATCATGGGTAAGAGTTACCCACAAAGATATTTTTTCATAGCCAACTAAATATAGGTAAAATTAACTCACATCGTTTTTGTTGCAAGCATCCCAGTTGAAGAAGGTAAGACGAACGGCGTCTGTTACACGACTAACCACTTGTTGTGATTAGCAGTGTGCAGTATCATTTCGTCCGAGCCAAGCTTCCGACTAACTTCACAAACAGAGGAAAACAAACCTTTTTTTTCTAGTAGCGGTCGATCCTCGGCATAAAAAAAATAAAAATTTCAAATTCAAATTCCTCGGACCCCAGAACTCCCAGGAAGGAGGTAAGGATATATGAATATTTACATTTGTATCACTTGCAATTGTTTTGTATGCTGCTCTGCAACCACCCAACTTCAACTGAAAAAAAACGCTTAAAATTGCCAACTTGCGAAAACTGAGTAATAAATTTTCTATATCCAATGCAGACTTTCAGAAAAATTTCGTTCCATCAATTCCGCAGAAAAAACTCAAACTGTCGTACAGTGATATCAGTGAACCTTGGATTAAAGGAAACCCTTGCACCAAATTTCGTTGAGATATTTCGATTTTTGCTAAAGTTATCTTGCACGTGGATAGACGGGCGGGTAGACAGACATGACTTAACCGGCTTCTTTATTCGTTCTGATAATTTTCGTTTATATATTTCAATATGTCCGAATAAATCTATCTCTATTTCTATTTCTTAAGACTGTTACAAGCGAGCGTTATACCAGCAAAGTTATAATACTCAGTGCACAAGTATGCTCGGGAATAAAAATAAAGAAATGTATAGAGATGGAGTAAGGGATAGGTACGAAAGATACAATGGCAAAGATAAGGATTCAGCTGAAAATTAAAATAACTCAACTCTCTTCACCTTAACCCAACTTTTCTTATCTTACGTCAATTAAGCTCACCACATTTCTACTCACCTCGCTAGCCCCAATGAATCAAGCGAAGTTTCACATCCATATCGTTATTTTTATTTTTAAACTGGCAGACTCCGCGGCGGTTGGAACGATGCTCACTTTCCAACGCTTGTGTGTTCTACATGTCGATATGGTTCTAATTTTAATGTTTGGGCGGCTCTCAGTCCTCAAGCGCTTAACAAGTCAGAATGCGAAAAGCTTTCCTCTATTTTGCGTACATACAGGTGTTCGTAAAGTTGCACATATCACGCTTAAGCGCCAATTTACAATGTTGACTCTGAAATGTGTGGATATATGCGTTCCGTTGTCTTGAGGCCCAACCACAAACGGATTGCAAATAAAGTAAACAAAGTGTCATCAGTTTCTTATTGCCCATGTTGCTATGTACACCGCCTCACATAGAACGGTGTATAGATTTGCAGGCGCAAAAAGTCGACAAGCAAAAGGGGGCAGTTGACACTGAAAGTAGAAACAGTCAAAAACAGTTAGTGCAACTGCCGCTGATGACTTTGGTGGTTAGCAGATGGTTTATGCCGAAAGTCAACATCGATGAAAGGCGTGCGATGGCGGTGGTTGCTTGGAATAAAAAAAAGTAGTTTTCCAGCGCAAGTAAAGCGCAGCTCAGCATCTGGTAATTGAAAACGTGCTGAAAGATGCCACAGGCAACAACACATTTTTCGACAAATGTCAATACAAACTAACAAACAACAGCTACTTCAATACATATGTACATATATAAGAACGTTAAGTATATGCCTAAACACAAAACTCTCTCCAAGCAAATATGTATGTGTCATCTCAAAATACGAGCGCGCTAATGTCTACGAGTTGTGCGATTAAATGGCACTAGAGTTGGGTTCGTTGTTGATAATTTGTTTAAATTATTTTGCGGTTTCTGGTGGGTGTCATAAGTGTCATATGCGGGAATGTGTTACAGGCATCTATAGTGGTGCTTGAAGTAGTTCAAATGTTTAGTGCAAATTGTTGTGTCGACATGAGTGCTTTTAGCTGATGTGTTTGGGACTTGGTGTTAATTATGCTCCTGGCCAGTGTGTGTGTTGATGCAAATACCATCCCACCCATATAGTTGCATAGTGTAAATAAATGGTAGACGTTGTGTGTACCAAGTTTGTTAACTTACCTGCGGCTACGTAGGTGAAGACATGAAAATGCTTTATGGCATTTATGTACGCCGGCAGGTTTCGCACTTATGAAGGAATCTATTTACAAATGTACGTACATACATAGATATATAAATTCAAGAACACGCTTTTAATACATAGTTTAATATGCTTCAAGGTGTCAAATGTACAGGATTACGTACACAGAAAGAAAAAAGATAGGTTAATCTAACCGAAAAAGATTGTAAATAAACCATTTTTCTATTTTACATTGAAAACACAAACAACAAGTACAATTCAGGTTGTTAATATAATCGACGAAAAATTGTTATACGAATTTGGAAATTTTTAACCGCAAAAATAGTTAAACTAATCGTTAGAATTGTAGAACATAAATTTAACTACAAAAAAGGTGGCCAACCTGCAAAATGGTAAAGTTACTATTCTTAACCACAAAAATAGTAAAACTAACCGGATAAAATTGTAACTCTACTATCTTGATTGTTAATCTAACTGAAAAGATAGTCTTCACGTAATTCTCTTCTCTCTTTCTTCCCTCTTCATGATGAGAATAACCACAAAAATAGTTAAACTAATCGTTAGAATTGTAGCACATAAATTTAACCACAAAAAATTGGTATGGCCAACCTGCAAAATGGTAAAGTTACTATTTTTAACCACAGAAATAGTAAAACTAACCGAATAAAATTGTAGCTCTACTATTTTGATTGTTAATCTAACCGAAAAGAGAGTTTATGCGATAAGAATAACGGCACTTTTGATGCTTTGCTTCTTCTTTTCTTCTTTCATATTCATTTGCAAACTTTTCATGGACGTTGTTATTTGCGTAGGTGCAGTGAAGTGAAATTAAATTAATTAATATATTAAAATTAAGTGTTGATGAATCTTAACAATAGTGAATTGTTTTCGCTAAATATTTTGCATGCTGTGGAGGCGGATGATATGGATAATCCTGATCCAGAAGACACGGAATTTTGTAAATTGATTTTGGAGTGGGGATTTTCACATAAAATCGCTGAATTTAAAGGTAAGTTGCAAATACATTGTCATTGTTGTAGTTTTTAGTTAATTTAGTGAAATTCCAGCGCAAGCAATAACCTTGAAAAATTTGCAATATCTGACGGAGTCTGACCTTGCTGATTTGTTTAAAAACGACACCATTGGTGCTAGAGCGGAATTCCGCCATCAACTCATAACTTGGAGGAAAACAAATGTAAGTATTGTGAATCCCTCTGTGATCATTTCATGAAGAATCTTTTTTGTTGCAAAATTCCTTCAGGGGTATGGTAGCGTGTCGACGTGCGATACAGCGTCCGCCAATTCTGGTTTTGTTGACTTTGTGCAGCAGTGGCGACAGCGGATCAACAATGGCATCGAATCTCTTTCATGCTCACAAACATCCAGTTCATCTTCGTAAGTTTATATATGAGGCACCTCACAAACCCAACAAAACATTAAACAAGTTTTAAAAACCTACAATTTTTAAGGATTTGCAGCAAGTGTTAAGTGCCCATCCAATTGGCGAGTATGTTCTGCGACTGGACAAACTATATGACGCTGGGAGGAAGATCTGTGTCGTGGTTTATTAAAAGAAAAATCAAAATATACCGAAATAAATTCGAATCTATTGCGCAAGATATTGCAAACAGGTTTAAAGATGACAAGGTAAATTATTTATTCATTACAAAACTATTTTCTAAATTTTCACCTATTTTCAGTCGATTTACTACCACAAAGATCCTATTACCTTGAGACCAGCAGGCCGCTTGTACGATAAATATTACAACACATTGAAGAGATTGAGGAAATCCGGTGAATTAGTGGACCCAGAAAGTTCAACTCCTGAGGCATCACCGACAGAAGAATATACATTTACTTTCGAGGATGAAAAATGTAACGCCACCACAATAGCTTTTGTTTTGTAATTATTTCATATTTTTTTATGCAGCTGCCTATGACTGGCTCAAACTTTTTGATTCGCCGTGGAGCACAGTTGAAGCAAATTGGAAAAAACCTTCAAAATCAGACGACAAGAAATTTTGAACTCAAGTGGTAGCACATCAGCGAAAACTTTACGGGCCTGGAAACTTTTTTCCCATTCATGTGGATACAATCTGGTAAATGGATTTCTTAGTTTTACGTTTAAACTTGTCAGAATTGGTTGACTAGTTTGAATTTACAATCAAATGGGTCATATTAATAAAAAAAAATGATTTTTCTCAAATTTGACATCAATTTGTATGAAAAAACTTTCAAAATTTGAGAAAATATTTCGAAAAAGCATTTTCTTTTTTATTAAATGACCCAATAAATACAAAAACTTCCTCTTGAAATACTATCATATATGAAAGTAATGCGTCATATTAATAAAAAAAGCAATTGCTTTTTCAAAACCTTTTCTCAAATTTTGAAAGTTTCTTTATACAAATTGATGTCAAATTTGTGAAAATTTGAGAAAAAAAAAAACCTTTTTTAATCATATGACCCAATATTTAAAGGCACGGCTGCAAACCGGTTCTGAATCGGGTTTTGAACCGAACCACTGCTGTGAAACCCAATCAACTTTCATATAATAATAGATATGCAAGTTGGAAGTAGCTCAAAAATTTCCCTGAATTTTCCTTTTTTTGCTTAGAGGGTGTTGATCAATTTCTTCCATAAAATACAAAAAAATAAATATATACATTTTGCATTTCTCTTTCAAAAAAAATCGGAAAACTTAGAAAAATGTTTGAGCTAGCTCCAACCTTCACAATATTATTCTTTAGTCGGTTGGCTGTAAAAATGGTCGCTACAGAATTTAAAACTCAAAATTTAATAATGCTTTCCTTTATTGCAGATTGATATTGACTTCAATGCTCTACATCAGAATTGCTCACAGCTAACAGAGAAATGGCAAGGTTTTAGAACAAAAATTATTCCAATTTTGAATAAGAGGGTAAAGGATATTCAAAATCTTCAGCACTTGAAAAAGTTAATGAGATTGATAAAGGTTTGTTAACATTGGTAATAATAAGATTAAATGATTTTTATAATAAATATACTTTTATTAAAGGTTCAGATCAACTTATAGCATTGTTACTGCACGTTGTACTACGACCTAATATAAAGCGGAAGGCAGGTGACAAAA